AAATATTTTATAATACGGTAAGGCCAGATTACTCTGCTATCGGAGCGAAATTTCGTGACAAAATTTTGAGATTTTGTTGTGTTTAAATTTTTTTAACCAAACCGCATAAAGCACTGTGAAACATCTAGAATTGTAAAGCAAACGTTTCTCTACAAAATGAAACGCCTCAGGATTCTGCACATTTCTTTGTTTAAAAAATAAATAAAAAATACGAAATGCTACTTTTTTAAAATGAAGCTGGAAAAGGTCATTTCGTATTTTTCTTTTATTTTTTAAACAAAGAAATGTGCAGAGTCTCGAGGCGTTTTATTTTGTAGAGAAACGTTTACTTTACAATTCTAGATGTTTCACAGTCCTTTTTGTAAGTTTCGTTAAAAAAATTTAAACATAGCAAAGTGTCAAACTTTTGTTACGGAATTTCATTTCGGTAACAAAGTTATCTGGCCGTGTTGAATGAAGTAAAAAATTATACACAGCATAGACTATAATGTCTAACGTCGTAGGAGAAAAGTCAAAGTATTTACTAAATTGTTTCTATTCATTTCGATCATTATATAAGATATTCTCTTTAGTTGTTGTTGTTAATAAACCTGATCTTTGTTTGTTATTTAAATTTTATTATATACTTATTTCATAGTTTTGATAAACATGATATAGTCTGATATCAGAATATATAACGCATGTATTCTGAAAAACAACTTCTCATATCAAGAATTTCGACTTAGAAAGCATGTCTTGATGATTATGTTGTTCGTCACATACTTCAAAGATACTGTTTTCGAATCTTGACGCTATCAAAGTCATGTAATAACCTTGGGAACTAACTAATTTGTTTCAAATTAAAATTTCTAATCCTGTCCGTTTTCTTATTAATCAAGAAAACTTAGACCTAGAAGCGGACTTTCTCAAATGTCCAATCGCTTTTTCCTTAAAACATACGCGATTGCGGGTAATCTTTGATGATGTGAACTTTCAGTCGAACATATTTTGACATTGAACAGATAGTAGGAATTACACGTTGAATTACCTGTGTGAGAAAATGTTCAGAACCATCGAACAAGTTTTTGTGAAGATAATAAATTTAGAGTTCCATACTGGATTAGAAAGTAAAATTTTTCCATCTCTGCGAAAACTTGTTCGTTGGTTCTGACTATTTTCCCACATTGATCATCCAACGTACTCTACTATCTGGCAGCGCTAAAATATGTTCAGCTGGAAGTTCACAGCAGGCCTTCGGACACCCAAAATTCAGAGACCCACCCCAGAGAGGTCTATCAGCAGAAACATGATCAGCAGAATTCATGATCAGCATCAAAGATTATGTACAATCGCGTATGTTTTAAAGAAAAAGCGATTGGATACTTGGGAAGATTACCTGGTTGTTACTCTATTCATGGACGTCTTTTACAATAAATGTTTCCAGTAAAGTTAGAAGAAATTTAAAATCTGAATTTTTTAATAAATCATACAAATATGTGATCTACCAAATATATCCATAGCAAATATATCGATCCTACTTCCAATAAACACTTAAAAATAAGAAAACATTTTTCTTTTCATTTAATGTAAAACTTATCTAAAATCAAACAAACGTTACACTTAAACCGCTTAAATTGCAGTACATACAAATAATAAACAAGTCATACATACTATAAAATTTCGAACTTTCCGGACTATAATAGTTTGTATACTGTGAAAAAATTGACATATTTATCCAGTTAATGGTGAATTACTTTGAAATCTTTTATTATAAAAACCTGTTCAATTAAAGTTTTAATAATTGCTATTCATGTTAATATTTTTTTTGGAATTAATTTAATAATTTTGTCTGTTTATCGACGTTGTTGGTATCTTTGTTGAGAATTGATTTTAACATTTTTTACTTCTTGACGTCGGTTTAATTCACTTTGATATAATTCTCCTCTTTGTAGTTCCAATTCTGTATTGAATTTGGATAAGTTTATTTTAATATCCGTCTTTTTTTTCTCCAGTTCTTGAATTTTGTCTAGTATTTTCGATTTGGATTGAGCATTTGACTGAAGTTTTTCAGTATTTTTCATAAGATCAGATTTTATATGTTGATAATTATTTTCATTATGAGTGACTAAATCACAATTGTTTTTTAATTGATTATTCAAATCATCAAGATCTTTTTTCGACTTGTTTATTTGAATTTCGGCGTCCCCTTTTTCCCGGAGTAATCGATTTCCATCAGAGGTAAGAACATTAAGTCGTTCTTGGTTTTTTTGTATTTCTTGTCCTTTTTCATTTAATTTTTTGTCCATTTGTGTCATATCATTGAATAATTTTTGTTCACAATCTTTTAATTTTGATAAATTTTGTTCAGTTTTTGAAATTTTAGTAGCTTCTTGCTGTATTTTGATGCGTGTGTTTTTATGTAACTCTTCACATTTTGTTAATTCTTCTCGATTTGATTTTTGCTGTGTTTCAAGATCTTTTTTATCGGCTAATTTTTGTTTAATGATAGATTTTGTATGCTCTAATTCAACCTTGGTTGATTCAAGTGTTTTCTTTATATCACCAAGGTTTGCTTTTTTTTGTTTTACAACTTCTTTTAAAGTATCTGAATTTTCTTTTGTAGCTGTGATTAATTCCTCTTGATTAACACATTCACGTTGTGTTAATTTTTCCTTATTTTGTTTATCACCTAAATTACGTTTCAAGCTATCTATTTGTAGTTTTAAACGTTGAACAGTACCAAGTTGTGTTTGACAATCATGTGTTTTTTTTTGTATTTCTGTTTTATTTTCTTTCATTGTTTTCTCATGTTCACGAATTTGTCTTTCATGTCGTTTAAATGTTATGTCTGTGTTGCTTATTTGTGATTGTATATTTTCTTGTTGTTTTTGATATGTTGATTTTTCTGATTCATATTGTTTCAAATCATCATTTAACGTTTTCAATTCGTTTTCAGAACGTTGAAATTTTTCTCTAATTGTTTTTTAAATCGAAATCAATTTTTTTCTTGTTCAGTCATTGTTTTTGCAAAAAGTGATTCGCATGATCCAGAAAACTACGTAACGTAGGGACGTTCTGGAAACGAGAAATAGCTCTCTGGGTACTGAATGTTCTTCTTTTAAACAAAAGTCCAGATTTTACGCGATGAGTTTCACAAGTGGAAGAAAAGTGTGTCTTGGACTTCGAAATTTTGAATATATGCCGAGTTGCCCCGCGCCATTTTCAGAAATGAATTTGTGTACATATCTTTTAATTAGTGAGTTTCTTTTTTCACATACATGCATCTAATAAAAGATACTAAGTGATTATCAGTTCTTTAAAGGATAAAAGACACACCGAAGAATCCACAAATTCATTGAAAAGAGAAAGAATTGTAAAAATTTATTCATTGATTATTGAATAATTACTATAAGAAAGAAATGCACTACACAATCTGTAAAACCACGGCACGTAAAGAAAAAATATAACATACAGATATAGAAGAAGTTACACTCTGATTCAGATGTTTTTGATGCTACAGAAATTCCAACGAAATTGACGCTTGAAACTCGCTTGTTAGTCCAAATCAGTAGCTGGAAAGGTCCACAGTGTCTATCGATGTGCAACATTTTCGTGCCAGCTTGTACTGGCTACTGTATGTTCTAGGAGCATTATTTGCATGCCACGGTTATGTCATTTGATAGTGCACATGGTTAGTAATAAGCAGTAAAATTTCATTTTAAAACCATGTGTCTATGTGAAACTACTACTAAATGAAGTAGACATTTTTTCAATACGATACTTTTTATAGATTTTGATGCTTCTCATAAAAATAGGAAGCGCATTTCAAGCTGTACTTTTCAGATTAAACCAAAAAATGTTTATAAATTATTTGGGTAACTTTTCAGTTAAATCACTACACCTTAATTGAACACGTTAGGTCTCTTAGACAGAGAAACATATTCCGGAGCTAGATTAATGAGGCTATGCGGCTATTCTATAAAAGCTTATGAAAAGATAGGTTTTTGGAAGCGTTTTGAAAAAAATATATTGCCACGAGATCCAGCGTAGTCGATTACCTATGTTTTCATTTATTTTCGGAATTGGCACACCTAAAGAAATATTGATCTTGGGACTCTCAGGAAATCCGATGCTACGCCTGAACCAGAAGGAATTAAGAGTTTGCTAAGTTCCCATTTTGGAGAGGACACTTTGGACTATCCATCTAGGAAGAAATATCGACCTATTTTTATGTCAGTTCTAAGAGATTCAAAATTGGTTTTCAAAAGATCTGCTCAAAAGCCGATCTTTGAATTAGTTTGAAAATTCATTTTTCATTGTGGAAAGATGCGTAGAGGTGTTGGCTATCGAATACTGAAAACCGCAGCTCTCTATCTAGCTTCTGTCGAATGTTATTCAAAACGCAACAGCCTGCCTTGTGTTTTGGAACGGATAGTAGTATGATTTCTTAAAAGTTGGCAGATATTTTTTTGTTTTACAATATAGTTTAACCATGACTGCGCCAACAAACGTTGCAAATGATTGTACCAGTATTGTACAATCACCTGCACATCAAGAATTAGACAAAAAAATAAAAATAGCCATCGATGATTCGAAAGACGAATTTAATAAAGTCAAACAAGAACAAGTTGAAAAGAAAAAAGAAAAGGACAAAATCACACAAGAAATCGATCAAAATTCAGAAGAAAATAATGGTTCACAAGAACGATTAGAAGAACACATCGCTGAAATGTCACGATTAAAGAATAAACAAAATGAACTTATCGATCAACAATCAAATTTGAATAATCAAATAGATAAACAAAAAGACATAACTGAGGAGAAACAAATTATTATCGATCAACATGAACAAGAATTGAAAAAGCATAACGAAATAAAAAATAAATTGGAAATAGAAGAACAAATATTGAATAAACAGTTGAAGGATATAAAACAAAAAGAAAATGAAACTTTTCAAACACAAAACTATTTACAACTATCATTAACTGGATTACTTAAGCTAATTCAAGAAACACAAAAAGAATTTGAACTACAACAAACTCTATTGGATGAAGAAGAATTGAAAAACAAAGAATACCAAGAACATATGGAAAAGTTACGTAGCGAAATAGAAAATATTGAAAGTCAACTGAAAGATGTTGGAAATGAATTGGAAAGATTAGCAGAAGAAAGACGAGAATTAGAATTGAAAGTAAATGATTTAGAAGAACAACAAAGACAATTAAAAACAGCCATTGAAAAGTTGGAAAAGGTTATTGGAGAAAAACTAGGTGAACTTGCACGCACAGTAGAA